GAAATGCTTATTGAACACATAAGTAGAAAGGTTGGTTGGCAGTTGATAGGTGAGTCTGGGAAATAATGGAAATGCATAAGCTGGAAATCTCAAAATATAGATTTGGAAGCTAGGATACTTAGAAACATATATGGAGAGAATGCAGATAAAAAAGGAAAAGTATTCCAATGATTGAGCTCTGATCTACCCTGATATTTCTAAGTTGGAAAGTTGAGGAAGAGACAGCAAAACAAAAAAAAAGACTAAAAAGAGAAAGTCTAGGGTAATGGTAGGAGTAAAACAAATGAATAAAATGTCCCAGAAGCAAAATGTTGCCAACTGAGCAAGTTAAACGATCACTACATTTATTAGCCATTGAAGACATTCACTGGTGACATTGACAAGAGCGGTTTTAGGGGATTCGACATGGCAAATCCTAAATATCGTGCATTCTAGAAAAAAATGAAAGAATACATGTATAGACAATGCAGTCAAGAAGTATTGCTGCAAAAGCATGTGATAAAGGCAATATTTAGGGAAAATGTAAAAAAACTTTAATTTTCCCCCTATTTATTTGCATATTTATTTATTCTTTGAGATGGAATAAACCATAACAAAGTTTATATATCAATGGTAATGATCCAGTGGAGCCAGAAAGCTGATCTTGTAGGGGAGGAAAAAGGAAAATTCCAAATACTGTCCTGAAATAATTGAGAGGAGATGGAGAGAGGGAAATAAGCTGGGAGCACATACAATTTATACAGAGAAATAAGGAGATAAGAATATATGGGTTCTGATGAAATCAGTGTGTGAGTGTGATTGTTTCCCATATTTGGCAATGTTGAGAATGATCTCTTTTTAAAAATAGGAAAAAACATCAAATCATCCAATAGATAGAATGGGCCTTAGAACTATAAGGTTAATGGACTTGGAATTTGCCTCCAACTTTTGGCCAACAATATAAGTTAGTTGGCTCTCATTAAAAAAAAAAAAAGTAGAAGAGTGAAGCAAATTTATAAGAAAGAGTGAATATATTTGAAAATTAGACTGTTCAATCTCAAAACAACTGATTTTGATTTGACATTCTCGCTTTATATTTGGCCATTAGGTTCCCTAAGATTCCCGTGTATCTATCTAAACTTGAGCTAATTTGCTTGGAAGTTTATTCTTGAAATCATATAGTTCATAATTAAGTCACGTGGTGGGGGTATGTGTATATGTGTATGCATGTGTGTGTGAGCAGGCATGTGTGTGTGCGCATGCTCAAATGTTGGTTCATCTTTAAATGTTATAGTAACTTCTGTTTCCAACTGTGACAGAAAAGAATATATCAAACTCACTGTTCTAATGGTAGCAACTGTAAAATCTATATTAAAATAATATTTTAAAAATCAGTGCACAGACATCAGAAAGCAACCAAGGCAGCCAGATTTTGATGGGCACAATTTCTGCAAGAGAGGGAAACACTCTGATGTAAGATCTTTATTTCCTTTTGAGGTATTTTGCATATTCTCTAAACATAAATACCAAGCAGAAAACAGCATCCTAGAGCCTATGGCAGTCTCTGAAGGCAATGTAGGTAAAATGAGAGTTCAAGGCTGACAAAGCAACCATGACTAGAATAGTCAGAATCTTGGAGAAAAAAATCTGTAGTGAAGTGAAGTGTTATTTTTTCTGGAAATTATTTTTTTCAATTTAATTTTAATTGGGTGAAAATTGCTTTACAATGTGTGTTGGTTTCTGTCATACAACAATGCAAATCAGTCATAGTTATGTATGTGTGTATATATATATGTACATACATACATATATATCTTCCTCTTGAGCCTCCCTCCCTCAATCCTACCCCTCCAGGTCATCACAGAGCCCTATTCTGAGCTCCCTATGTTATATAGCTACTTCTTACCAGCTATCTGTTTTACACACAATATGTGTATATATGTCAATGCTACTTTCTCATGGTGGGGAAAGGAGAGAGTGGTATGAATGGAGAATGCAACTTCTCTTTAAAATATTTGCTGATTCTTAACTGCATAATCCCAAGGCAAGTTACTGAGAATCTGAGAAGAACATAGTTAATTAAAGGATAAAAAGTTAAGCAAAGAATATAAGAGATTTGGAGAGACAAAAGTTGGGCCTTAGTACTTACCAAGTAGTAGGAGCCCTGGTAAATGACTTTGACTTTCAGTTGATACCTTCACTGGTAATGCCCTAACAAGATGAGAAATCTAGAAATATGCCAGTCCTCACAAAGAAGTCATGGTGATATGCCCATATCCTATGCACTATCCAGAAGTAAACTGATATATATATATATATATAAAAAGCCAAAGGACAAATTATAAAATAAATCATAGATAAAAAACATATTAACTTCAAAGAAAAAACAGTAAAATTAATAGTCAATTTTTAATCAGAAACCCTGGAAGTCAGACAGCACAATGAGATCTTAAGGTGCTAAAATAATTGGCAAATTGAAATGCTTTTGTCTTGGGGAGGGGGACCATGCTGCTTGGCTTGTGGGGGTACTACCCCTGACCAGGGATTGAAATCAGGTCCCACTGCAGTGAAAGTGCCAAGTCCTCAGAGAATGAATTTATGGTTGCTGGGGGGAGGAAGGGGNACGTGTACACATTGCTACATTTAAAGTTAATAACCAATAATCAACAAGGATCTACTATAGCACATGGAACTCTGCTCAAGGTTATGTGACAGGCTGAATGGGAGGGGAGTTTGGAGGAGAATGGATACATGTATATGCATGCCTGAGTCTCTTCGCTCTTCACCTGAAACTATCATCATCATTAATAGGCTATACCCCAATAAAAATTAAAAAGTTAAAAAAAGAAAAAAGAGAAATTGCCAAGTCCTAACCAATGGACTGCCAGGGAATTCCCTGGCAAATTGGAATTCTATACTCACTTAAAATCAATTTCAAGGATGAAGTGAAATAAAGGCATTCCTAGAAAAACAAAAAATGAGGGGAAAATAGCAATAATAGTCTTTCACTAAAATAAATACTGAAAGTGTTTTCCAGGAAGATGATATGATGATTTGAGATTGTTGTAGATTGTAAAATTGGCCAAAATTGGTACCCCTTCCTACATTCACCTCCTGCAATTTGTTGTTGCAGATCCTCCCATTAAGACTTGAGTCAATTTACTACCAGTTGAATTTGTTTGCTAGGTTTTATGGGTTGAATTATGTAACCCCTCCAAACTCATATACTGAAGTCTTAACCACCAGTATCTCAGAATGTGACCTTATTTTGAGATAAGATTTTCAAGTTGGTAGTCAAGTTACCTTAAATAACTTGACTCGTTTCCTTGAATAAAGGGGAATTTGTACACAAAGACATGTATAGAGGGAAGAAAACATGAAGAGACATAGGAAGAAGATCCATGCTTCACTCAAAGCTGACAGAAAAAAGCTGTCAACATGTTGATTTTAGACTTCTAACCTTAGAACTGTGAGGGAATAAATTTCTGTTGTTTAAGCTAGCCAGTCTGTGGTAGTTTGTTATAGAAGCACTAGCAAACTAACATACAGACATACTGCCGTGGCCATTGGAAATTGGCAAACATGATACAGAGGCTCAAAAAAGGCTATAAATTGCTCTAGCCACTCTTTGGAACTCTGAAACCAGCATTTGAAAAATGATGAGCCAATCTGGTGGAGGATGAACTACCACATGGAATAAAGCTCCTGCTGAAATAAATCATAGGCCATTGAGCCTACCAGCTACCTCACATGTGAAGCAGGACATTCTAGATCCTGCAATCAGTTGGCCTGCCACTGACCACAGAAGCATGAGAGAACCTAGCTGTCAGCTGAGCCAGGCCACAATCAGGCTGATACATGGAAACTTTGGTCCAACAGAGCAATTGTCTTAAGCCAACCACTATAATTTGAGGTTGTCTGTTTTAAAGCAAAATCTAAGAGGTACACAGATAGAAGTAAGAAAATTCAGGAAAGGAATAAGATTCCTGGAAAAGGTAAATATATGAGTAAATACAACTTAATTTTGACTCTCTAAAAATAATAATACTTTGTGTAGTTGTCAAACAGAGTAAAATATGAAAATAGCCTCAAAGTGTCATGATTATAAATAAAAGTTAAGTGTTATAAGGCACTTGTCTTTATCAATTTTATATTTAATATGTATTTAGGAAGATTTTTCTCTGCAATAACATAAATATTTGTTTTATTGTTTTGCTACTTATTTATGTAATTATAGAGAAAATGTCTACATTTCCTGCTAGTATTTCTATTTTAATACTTGTTTTTTCAAATTCAATATTTTTTTCAATTAACTAAAACTTATTTTGGGGAATGATATAAAATACAAATTGATGCTGATTTTTTTTTCCCAAATAGCTAACCAATTGCCCTGATAGATTTTAAAATAGCCTTCTTTTTAAATGTACTTAAGATTTCCATTTTTTATATGCTAAGTTTTATATGTATCAGTGGGAGTTCATTTAAAAATATTCATTTTATTTCATTTCCCACAATAAGTTATTATGTCTTAAGAGTAGTACTGCACAATTTTCACCAAATTTTCCCATGAACTTCAAAATTCTCACTGATATCATTTAGGGACAGACCCTAATTATTTCAGGCTTCCCTGTGGCTTAGCTGGTAAAGAATCTGTCTGCAGTGTGGGAGACCTGGGTTTGATTCCTGATTTGGGAAGATCCCCTGGAGAAGAGAGTGGCTACCCACTCCAGTATTCTGTCGTGGAGAATTCTATGGACTGTTTATAGTCGATGGGGTCACGAAGAGTCGGACAGGACAGAGCGGATTTCACTTTCACTTTCTCATATTTTCTAACTGATCCTCCTATTAATACTAAAATAAAATATTCCTTTCCTTTTTATGCTGACTCTCAGCTTGTTCTAGATCATTAATTAGGCATATCCTTCAAACTCTTGAAGTGCTTTCATAAATTTTTTTTTCTTAGTTTACCTTTTGGAGACAATTTGTCATGGATTGCTCACATTTCTATATGTCTTCTTAACAGAGGTGTTGACAGCTTTTGTTCTAGGCTGTCTTTTCAAGAATATTTGTATAACAAACAGCCTTGAAAGATACAGCCTTGTATCTCCTTGTAGGGCAAAGGTAGATTTGTTTGTAGTCCAGGATAATAAAGATGATGTCTTCCTCTGGGGCAAAGATAGGGCAGAATTTCTTGCAGCCTCCATTAAAAGGTTGGGATATCCTAGGTTCAGGTTTCCTCAGGGTTCCCCATTGACATAAACTACTTGCATCCACGGAGCTGTTCCATTCAATTATCATGGGGCTTGAGGACAAGCAGAAACAAAACAAACATTGCATTTAAAATAACTGCTATATCATGAGTAAACAGGTTCTTTGTTTCTGACTCAGCAGCCATTAAACTGTAGCAGGCTAACTTGTTAGCTTGAAAGCAAGATATAATTCCAGGCTTACTTCAGTGCTTCAGCCAAGCTGGTTTCCTTAGGTGACCTACCCAAGACTACTCTTTTTTTTTTTTTCCCCCATTTATTTTTATTAGTTGGAGGCTAATTACTTTACATCATTACAGTAGTTTTTGTCATACATTGAAATGAATTAGCCATGGATTTACATGTATTCCCCATCCCAGTCCCCCCTCCCACCTCCCTCTCCACCCGATCCCTCTGGGTCCAAGACTACTCTTAATTGTGGAATTGGTTTCACAGTTTTCTGTTGGACTTCTACAATGTGTTAAAAATAGTAAGGATCCCTGGTTATATAATGCTGCAACCATTAATTTTTTTTTTCTTTTTCAAAAACTGAGATATAATTGACATATATCATTGTATAAATTTTAGGCTGATATTACAGTTTACCACTTTAGTTAACACCTCCATTATGTCACTTAATTATTATTTCTTTTTCTGTGGTGAGAATATTTCACATCTAGTCTCTTAGAAACTTTGAAATGTATGTAATAAGTCATGTCCTACTCTTTGTGATCCTGTGGACTGTAGCCCTCCAGGCTCCTCTGTCCATGGGATTTTCCAGGCAAAATTACTGGAGTGGGTTGCCATTTGCTCCTCTGGGGGACCTTTCTGACCCAGAGATCAAACCTGCACCTCCTGAATCTCTTGTATTTGGGGAAATCTTGAAGTGTATAAACAGTAACATATAGACTCCTACGGCCTTACTAAGTGCCCACATCCACTCTGATATTTTAATCCAGAATAACCCAAGCATGAAACAGGTGATCTATTAAGATAATTTGCTTTAAAAATAATTGTCATGGGACTGTCTAGCTTTATATACATTCATGGCTTATTTCAGCATTATCAACCTCTGTCCCTTCTGTTGTTTATTATCCTCTCTGCTATTCTTTACACTGATGTTACCTTATATATTTCATAAGAAGATTCTTTAATATTTCCAAAGACATAGCTTGCATTTATCCTCAAGTGCTTTAAAACCTTGGCTTTTGAGGATATATATTCACCTTGCTCATTTCCTGGGACTGTACTTCAGCATTGACCATATAAGTATATTCCTTGCTCTTAGGCACAGCCATCTGTGAAAATAATTTATATACATAATTACATATGCATATACATACAGTTATAGTTATATAAAATCTTTAACATAATATTTAATGAATATTTTTCACATATAATTTATATTTTAATTAATCACTGATATAAGGTTTTACATTCTCTTTTATAAAAAAGAAGGCAATAAAACTCAGAATAATTATGTGATTTGCCAAAAAAGTATATTGATACAACCTTGAACTCAGTACTCCAAACTTCAAATCTCAGAGTTAAATGTAAACATGATTTTAACTACCTGATACTAGGCATTATATTAATGGCTGAGCGTACAAAGATGAATAAAATTAACCCCTTTGTCTTAAGGAGACATTGGAGAAAGAATGTACATTTCTCTGCTTGTGTCAGTGACCAGATTTCCTTTGCAAGTTCTCAGTAGGCAGCCTTCTCTGAATCATGCAGCCCTGAAGGATGATTCGGGGTGAGTGGTATATATTTGTGAGCTGTGAGGGACCAGTTACCAATCTTGCCTCTGACTCTACATGACTCATCCCCGAGACCATATTACTGTATGGTCTAGAGAAAGATCATATTGTTATGTGGTCTTAAGAAATACCATAACATTTCTATGAGTTTCATTTTGATTATTGGTGAAAAATATGAAAACTACTAGAATAATAGATGATCCCTGAATAGGCAGAGATGGTTTCTGCCTCAGGCCCTTGGCTTTAAACTTTCTGGTTCGTTGGTGTTTATTTTCAGAGTCTTACAAGACTCACCCATTCACTTATTTCACATCGTGTCTCAAACATACCCTTGTCAACACAGTATTCCTTGATGGTACCATTAAAAATACCTCTTTTTCTAAGATAGCTTGTATTTTTTTTTTTTTTTTTGTCACGTAGCATGCAGGATCTTGGTTCCCCATTATACATTAGGCCTGCGCCACTGTAGTGGAAATGGAATCCTGACCACTGGGCCGCCAGGGAATTTCCTAAGATGACTTTAATATTTATTTTACTCTCAACAGGTAGTGATAGTCACTGTTCTGACAATCTCCTTTAGAGTGGTTTCTAAGACAACCACTGATTATTCTAATTACAGTAGAATTGAAAAGAAGATTGAAGTCACAAGCCCTGAAGATAGGAATAGAATTGGGTTCCTATCTGACCTTTACTACTTATAGTGGTAGGACCTCAGGCAGAACAACCTTCCTAGCTCAGTTTTCTAATTCTGTGAAGACTAATTTATAATAGATAATAACAAGATGTTCTGGAGAAGGAATGGCAACCCACTCCAGTATTCTTACCTGGGAAATCCCAGGGACAGAGGGACCTGGCAGGCTACAGTTCATAGGGTTGCAACAGTCGTACATGACTTAGTGACTAAACCACCACCACCACCAAGATGTTCAGTGAAAAATAAATAAATAAACAGGCTTTATCTCTATAGTTGAAAACTATAGATCCTCTTACTATTCATTCCCATTATAAGTCGCTTTACCCTATTTATTACTAGAAATTTCACTATGTATATTTAGCATATCTATATCCTTTTTGTGCATTCTAGAATTTAAGCAGCATAAGGGCTAGAACTTTGTCTGATTTTGTTATTGTATTTCTCATGCCAGAGCAACTTTTGGCACATGATAGGAATTTGATATAGATTGGTTGAATAAAAGAATTCATGAAAAAGAAAATATTTGTGAAAAGGAAATGAAGTGATATGTAGGAGACTGAAAATGAAACACTTCTATGGCATTTTATTGTTATAGTCCTTTTATCATAGGCGAAGTATTCTTCACAGGTGAATAACGCAGATGAAAGGATTGTGATAAAAGAGTGTCATGAAACTTTCATTTTCAATCTCCTATGTGTCATTTCATTTAACTTTCACAAATATTCATTCATTTATTCATTCAACAAGTTTGTATGTACTCAGTGTTCTTCCCCAGTGGGCAGTCTCTCATTGCTAGGTTTTCAATGTACCTACTTGGTCTTTAATTAAATGGAATTGTGAGATTATATTAGTCAATGATGCCAAATAAGATGAGTGAATAATACCAAACATTGTACCCAATTTCTGTTGTAAAAAATGAATTGATATATCTTTCAATAGCAGCAATACAGAGATACGAAAAGAGAAGTTGCCCACTGGAAATGAAGGAGCTGGAAGAAAGGGAGCAGGTACTTTTTTTTTTCTTCCCTATAAAGGGTGTGGTATGAGATGATGGATTAAGTGGTTAGGACCCAGGAATGATAGTGAGAACAATTTTCCCATTCTCTTATTGAATTGAAGGCTACGCTGTTGGCCAGCTGAAGAAAATATAGTAATGGAACCCATCAGAACCCGAGAACAAAAGAATTGAGGACCTCGCTGAGGTAAGACTTTGTATAGGTTCAGTGTAACTGCACATGGCTGAGGTTTTGGCAGTTTGGGAGAGAAAGGTTTCCATTCACTCAACCTCATGAATAACACATAAACATGTAACATTTAAAAAAAAATACAAGTTTTTGTTTTCTAGGCATAATATCTAGATGTCATATTTTAAAGTATTGCAATCTGTTAAAACATCTCCATAATTTTTTGGTCTTGTTTTGTTTTGAATTCATGCTGGGGAGTATCTCAGTAGTATCTCAGTAGTCAGTGATAAGTACAAAGGATAGTCCTTTCTTTCCCTTGGAACTAGGCGGTTGTCAGCTACTCAAGTAGTTAGGAGTTTTCCCTTTATTACCCATTTGAATTTGGGACTAGGCTTTGAGTTAGTGGCATTTAAGTTTGTTGGTGATCATAGATCATGTTAAGAATTTGATTTTGGTCCAGGAAATTATGCATGTGCAGGCATGCACACACACACACAAACACACACACACATGTAAGTTTTGGCATATAATTTTGGAAGGACTAGAGACCACCTACCACCTATCTATGAACTTTGGAAAAACTTCACAATTTTAGCTTCTTTTCCATGAAAACCTAAGTCCATATTGCTTTAGTTGTCACTGGGCAGTGGCCCCCATAAATGTCTTTTTGTCAAGAGTTGATATCTTTGGTCTCATTACCCAGGTCTCTTGAGTTTTGGGTATCTTTCCCTAAGTCTCTTGAATTTCTCCAGAACTGTGGCACTTGTACATCCATGAATTGATTTGGATTGCTCCTCTTTCTTTATAGTCAGCCCTGAGTTCCAAACAGCTCAGACTCAACAGATTCCCTGTTACCAACATCTCTGGTTGATACGTCTCTGGTCTCTCCCTGCCCTATTACTTTAGATATGACCATGCCTGGGACAGAAAAAATGCTTGTTACTTCAATTTTTGATTGATGGTCAGTTGTTTGCTCCATCCTCATGCATAATGTCTGTTATACTGCAAGCTGGTCTAGATCTCTTTTAAGAACTAATGCTAGTAAATAGAGTGAGCACTAAATTTTTCTTTAGTGTTGGGTGGAACCTCATATCACGGGAAGCATGACAGCCTAACATCTTTTAATCTGCTGTTTTAGTAGATTATTGTGCTACTTAGCATTTGTATATGCATATCAGACACGACTGAAGTGACTTAGCAGCAGCAGCAGCAGCATGTTACCAAGATGTCTGTATGACTGTGCAGGCTGTTTGATGGATAGAGTGAATCCATATATATGACTATGTATAACAGATTACTCTGAAGTGTTATCTGTTAAATTATGCAAATTTACTTCATCTGCTCAGCCAGATTTATACTTATGAAGGCCAATATTTTCAAATCATGCACATCATAATGAGAGAATGACTATTATATTTAATAAATATTTTATCATTGATAGAAATTCAATACTGTTCATTTAACATAATATTTCTCATTAACATTTAGTCAGTAGTAACCGCAATAAAAGAAGGAGACTTCAGGTAGTTAAAAACAGAAACAAAAACAATTAGCAAAACCCTGATTATTGTATTTGGTTTTAATTTTATCCTTAGAAGCTAAGGTTATTCTTTAGCATATCATATATTTCATATTATCTTATTATTCTCTCATTATTAATTCATTCATTTTGAATTTTATGTCCTTTTAAGTGGCACAAAGGGGGAGTCCCAGGTAGTGCTAGTGGTAAAGAACGCGCCTGCCAATGCAGGTGAAATGTAAGAGACAAGGAGAAGATCCCCTGGAAGAGGGCATGGCAAGCCACTCCAGTATCCTTGCCTAGAGAATCCCATAAGCAGAGAAGCCTGGTAGGTTACAGTCCAGAGGATAACACAGAGCCGAAGATAAGTAAGCAACTTCACGAAGCACACAGCACAAGAGGCACAAAACGTGAATCGAGATTTATATTTATTGTGAAATGTCTCCCTGACCTCCATCTGTGATATTTCTGAATGAAAACATTTTAACATTTTTTACTGGAAATGCTTACCTTCCTTTAATTCAAGTTGCAATAATTACATTTATTTAGCCTGCATAAAAGCTACTTGCCATGGACAATTCCAGCAAGTATACAGGGAAATAGTACAAAGAAATGGGTTTGAATCCTAACTTTGCTTCTCAACTTATGAGGACTTTTTGGGTTATCATTTACAGAAAATCCACCCCAAACAGTCTCAAGCAAAAATATAAAAAAAAAAAAGTGGAGGAGAGATTTACTAGTGGTCAAACTTTAATTACTGCTCAATCTAGGAGTTCAAATGCTATAGTTAAATATTGGTTCTCTCCCTGTAGTACCTTAAATCTCATCCACTGGGCTCAATTTTCTGGCGAGCTCTATTTTTGTTAGACAATAACTAACAGCATCTGGTTCATTTTTGAGTTCACTGAGATTAGAAAGAATATATTTTTTGACACCTCAAATAAAAGTTAGACTAATTTTTGGGCCTAGGTCATGAACTCATATCTAAACCAAAAGCTTAGGCATGAGTATTGAAGCACTCCGACTGGCCAAGCTTAATTCATATGTCCACCCTCCCCCCCTAAAAAAAGAAAAAAAAAAACTGACAAGGGTGGGAGTCAGTTCTATCTAAAGCCCACAGATGTGCTGAATTGAACCTGTG